TGAGTGCAATTGTACATTAGTTGGAGCATTCTTTGGCACTGCCTTTCTTTGGGATTGGTATGTAGACTGATCTTTTTCAATCCTCTGGCCACTGCTAAGTTTTCCAAACTCGCTGGCATATTGAGTGTAGCACCTTAACAGCATCATCTTTTAAGATTTTAAATAGTTCCACTGGAACGCCATCACCTCCACTGGCCTTGTTGTTAGCCATGCTTTCTAAGGCCCACTTGACTTCACTCTCCAGGTTGTCTAGCTCAAGGTCAGCAACCACACTATCTGGATTCTCTGGGACATCCAGATCTTTCTGGTATAATTCCTCTGTGTGTTCTTGCCACCTCTTCTTGATGTCTTCTGCTTCTGTGAGGTCCCTCCCCTTTTTGTCCTTTATCATGTCCATCTTTGCACAAAATGTTCCTTTAATATCTCCAATTTTCTTGAACAGATCTCTGGTTTTTCCCTTTCTATTATTTTTCTCTATATCTTTGCACTGTTCATTTAAGAAGGCCCTCTTGTCTCTCCTTGCTATTCTTTGGAAGTCTGCATTCAATTTTCTGTAACTTTCCCTATCTCCCTTGCATTTTGTTTCCCTTCTCTTCTCTGCTATTTTTTGGCCTCGTTGTACAACCGCTTTGTTTTCTTGCATTTCCTTTTCTTTGGGATGGTTTTTGTTGCTGCCTCCTGTACAATATTACAAGCCTCTCTGTGTCCACTAAATCTTGTTCCTTAAATCTGTTCTTCACCCCCACTGTGTATTCATAAGGAAATAATATGTTTTAGTTAATGTGCATCTTCATTGTGAGGTGGGATACAAATATTTATCGTAACATTAGACATGAAAGAATTATGGAAGCAGGGAGCTTATGGCTCATATTATGCCTCTAAACTAGAAATGGGCTTGCAGCATATTTTGTGTGTAATTTATTATGTCAGGTAGGATTTGGCTATGAGTGACCAAAGAAATTGGGGATTACATGGGATCATGTTGCACATTTTAGTCTGACAGATGTGAATTTAATCTTTCCTTGATATTGTTATGACACTAGTCACTGAACTTCAAGTTTTCATTCTATTCTGCATGTTGATACTAAAGTATCTCCAGTAGTAGCCAGTGGTGACAAACTGGAATCCTGTAACTATTTTGGAGTACTGTACTGTACAATTCAGTCTTAAGGCTAGTAAAGCAGCTTTCGTTTGGTATGATGTAATATCATTTGTATTAGTTAACTTAAAGGTCTAATGCTTTCTAGTTTTCCTCATCTTGCAATTAAGTGGGATAGCTCCTGAGTTACTCTGGAAGAACGCAGGACAAACTGTGGTGAGCAAATATAAAACCATTGTTGTGCAGAAGATCATCTTTTTCCATTGTGAGCATCAGATTAAATTGATCAGTTTATATGTTGGAATCATACCAGAAACGAGCATGCTGCGTGTACTCTATTTGTTGTGCTTCCGCCAGTTGTCTTAACATTTTTAGTTGGTCTGTCATAAATATTGTTTTAGAGCTCTTAGTAACAGTACACTAGGATAAGACTGATAAATTCTACCTGGTTTTACTACTAAACAATATCTAAATACACTTTTAAAGAATTTAATACATTTTGGACCTAAGGGCATGGTTACTCCATGAAAATGAATAAGGAGAGGGATCGAGGTTTTTGAAGTTGGTTTAAAATTATGTGGTAGTCGTGGTTTTTAGGCTGGTGTATGCGTCTTCTTAGAAAAACTTTTAATTTATTTTCAAAAGTTGGGGAAAGCTACCTGGCGTTTTACAACAATTGCATTTGAGGCTTTGTCCTGTGCCCACCTACCTTCGTGCTGGCTGCATCTCAAAGCTACACTGACACTGCTGCAGTGATGTTATTTTTTATTTTTATTGTTTTAAAAAATTGCAATCTGGAATACAGTGGGGTCTTGACTTGCGAATGGCTTGACATGTGAACTTTTTGAGTTACGTACTTCTCCGTCCGCAAAAATCCATTTTGACTTGCGAACGGAGAATTGACGTACGAACCAAAAAGTGGGGGGGAAGGGGCGGGAGAGGCGGGGAAACTGTCGTTTGTCCATTGGCCAGGGCAGTGCCTGCTGCTCCTGTGGCTGCGGCTGTTCCTGCCTGTGCTCTGGCTGGTGGTGCCGCTGTGTTTGCAAGGCTGCCTCCGGGCGGGCAACTCGGAGCCCGGGCAGGGAAGCCGGTGCACGACGCCGCCGCGTGGTCCTCCTCCACGTCTCCCGCGGCTGCCGCTGCCACCACCAGCATGCCAACCATCAAGCGGGAGCAGCCGG